GGAGAAAGGTTGTGTTACGTCAACTGACGATAGTATTCGAAATCAGACTTTTATATATATATATATCGGATATCGGCTCGAATATCAGCAGGTCTGACATAGCGCAGAATACGGATTTGGTGAACCGGGTTCGAATCTCAAGTGAGGTTCTTTATATTAATTAATGGTAATAGCAATATTAACCATTTCCCTATAAGGAAACATTCAGCATTCAGTGACCGAGCAGCCAGTACTGCCTTCGGTTGAAATTTAGAAAATCTTTTCTTAGTAGTACATTTTTTTATGAAAATAGTTTTTCATGTCCTGTAGCTGTTATTGCTCTTTCCAGTACTAATGGGTGTTTCCTAACAATTTATTTGAAGTATTGTTGAACGTTAACAGCTTGATTATATGATTATTTTCTCTTCAGCTTACATGTACTATCCATGACTGTTGGTAGTCCTCAAGTGATGTGGTTTCTTCTATATGGTACAGTTCTTTGTGATTCTGTTACGCCAGTCCAAGATGTTCAAAGAAGGATCAACATTACCAAGACGCCTCTCGCTCAAATCCATTTTTAATCAATGATCTTAGAAAGCGGAGGTATACAAGCAGTTTAGCTATCTCTCAACGGGTTTGGCGCTATGCGTGAGATCTATATGAAAGTCTCGATCCGACGAGGCTATTTAAGAAGATGACTCGAGTTTCAGGTTGATGTTTTGGTTTTGTAGCAATTGGTGGTATTGGGCGAAACTACACCTGGCGTAGCATCTTCTATGTTCAATTTCCTTTTCTCCTATTCTAAATTTGTTGTAACCGGTTCACACGGCGGGATATTTGAAGTGATTGGTATTACCAAAAGCAGGAATCTATTTCTCCTCTTAGATATGGATAAATAATTGTCAGTTGAAGATCTCAAAAATAGTTTTTCCGTTTCAATTTCCAATTAGAAAAGGTTATTCTCAAAACAAAAAATATGACAGTTGTTATAGTCTCAAGAGCAGGTTGAGAATTAAGGAAGATATGGCGTCAATTCGGTGCCGTAAAAAAGTTATAGAAATCCAATGATATTGTATGATATTGTTCAAAACGGAGGTCCACTTAACTATCAGCTTCCCCCTCACTTAACGATGGTCATTTTGCTATAAATACGGATTGTTGGTCATTTTGCAATAAATACGGATTGTTGGTGATTTTATTATAAATACGGATTGTTAGTCATTTTGCTATAACTACGTATTGTTGGTCATTTTTATATAAAAATTTATTGATTGTATTTTTAGTATAAAATGTTTTTTTTATACTTTCATAATGTTTTGTTTTTTGGTTGAAGGTTCATTATTTGCCCATAGCTAGGACCCTAACAGGTGCTATCACCTCAAAACCCTATCGAAGAATCTTTGCTTTACCTGAGCGATAGCATGAAACAGACCAAAAAGACTTACTAAATACAGGATTTTTTTATATCAACTTTTAATGACCCATCTTGAAATGGGTCGACAAGCTTCGTGAGAATTGAAAACATTCAAACCTATTACACCCAACTCCGTCACGTGGGAATGAAGAAATGTTTGGAGTCTTGGAGATGGGAAAGTCTTTAAGCGAATGTTAATGCACTGACATTGTGACTACAACATTTTGCTATATATGTTTTTCTTTTATAAAAAAGAAACTGTTTTTTTTATTTTTGTTTGATTATTTTTTTTCTTTTAGTTCGCCAAGAACGTCTATCAGAATGCCAATTTCGAAATAGACTCACAGATTCTTGTAAAAGTTTGTTCCCACATTCTGAAGAATTTGAAACATATTTAAAAATAGCGCGTCGCAGAGCATCTGGCATTGGTTTGAAATGTCTGGAAATGATAGGCAAAATTGGAAAGAATTTCGGTTACAGTGTTTGCAGAAACGAAGCTTTGCCAATGTGAGTAATGTATGGAGGTTCGTAAAGTTACTCAAGCTTTTACATGTTTTGCTCTTGTGGTTTGGTAAACAGGAATTGGTGTATAATCCAAAGAACAGCAATGGATGAAGCGAGGTCGAAGGAATGATTTGATCGCCTGTCGGCTTAATTCTAGTGATGCGGTAACGGTTACTCTTGTGCCTTGAATAAAAGTATGGAGTGGAATAAACGGTGTTGCAAATTTTTCTACCAAAATTTAATAAGTGAGGAGTCTCTAGGGAGAGGGTAGTGTAACATTAGCATAGAAGAAGAATTTTCTATGAAAATAAAAAATGTCTGTTGGCAGATTAAAAGCGGTTAGTTAGAATAAGAAAAAGAGGTGAGTTAGAATGATTTTTAAAAATTAATAACCAGATAGGGGGGGGGACATGATTATTAGAGAACGGAGATTAAAGGAGTGGTGGCATTGATAATTAGCAATGAAGAAGTATTAAATCATAATCAAGGATTGCTTTATATTGGACATCGTCGTTGATTTCTGCATGTGTTTAATATTAATTGATAGGATTTTTTACGGCTTATCAACCCTTTACATGTTATTTAAAGCGGTATCTCTTTTTTAGAGTGTAAAAATTCAGTGGGGGATAATAATGATTTAGTAATACATGTCTCGCTAATT